GTGAGAAAGACACATCGATTGGTTGCCTCCCGCTCACGCACCAACTAGGGCCAGGGTTTGAGCCCTAAACCGAGGTATGTGCCCTTGGCCAGAATTGAACCTGGGACTCTTCAATCTGCAGGCTGACTCTCTAACCACTGAGCCAAACCAGCTAGGGCAGGAGTTAACTATTCTAAGGGCAGCAGGAAACTACTGTACATTTTGAGTGTGGCCTAAGAGCGCCCAATTTACAATTTAAAAAGACCACTCTGGCTGTTGTATGGAGAGTGGGTAGTGGAGGGAAGGCCGCAGTGCACACTGAATGTCGTGGTGAGGGAAGAAGAGGAGGCGTGAGTCTGGAGCTTAGCGCAGAGAGGTTCAGGTTGGCGAAGAAAATTTGATCCTCTGTTTCCTATTAGCTCATTCCCTCTTCTTAGCCAAGCTCCCTATGAGTAGCCTTATCCACAGTCTCTACTTCCTCACCTCCTCAACTCAACCTCTTTGCTATGGCCTTTGTCATTGCGACGTCTCCGAAATGTTTCCGGCAAGGGGCACCCGAGGCCCTTTATGGTTAGCCAAGTCTAGGCCTTTGGACCTTGCCTGGTTTGACTGGCATCCAGTCACGTGAGCCATTCTTGCCTTGAAATGCTCTCCTTCTTAGCCCTCTGTCTCTGCTCTCTCATCCCATGGCCCTTTTGTGGTCCCCAAGTCCTCTGGCCAGCCCTGAAATGATAGCATTCCCCAGGCTTCTGACCTTGGTCCTCAAGGATTTCCTCTGTGCCTCTCTGAATAAAAAGATCCCTCCCCTCCTTCATCAGGCCAGTGACTACTTGCCTTTTCAGCTTCATTTCAGGTGCCCCCTCCTCCAGGAAGCTTTTCCTGACCCCTCAGACGGAGTAGGTGCCACTTCTCCCCGTTCATTTCTCCTGGAGCATAAAGTGGATATGATCACACTTAGCATCCTGCTTACTTATTTGTCTCCCTAGTCTAATAGTTCTTGAAAGATTGGATTACAACGAAATACCTGGTGATCTAGGACAAAGATTGCTTTCTCCATTTCAGATGAAAGCCTCACTTTATAATGAAGGTATCTGCACTTGATTGTATGTCCTTTAGTAGACCATTCATTCCTCACTGAGTTTGAGGGCTGTGAATTCTGGTGTAATATCTTCTTGAACAAAGGAATTAATTTAACTGAAAAGAATTAGTAATTGTCTCCATCTTCTGAAAGGAAAAAAAATCTGAGAATTTAAGAATATTAATTGCTTCAGAAAAGCTTCCAAAGACCTGTATTGCCTGGTAATTTGGTTCTTAACTCCCTCGTTCCCACTCCAAAACATGTTACATGGCCCTCATTTTGTGATTCCACAATTCTGGGTCTGGCATTACAATTGCCTCCATGGTGATGAACACTAATGTTCTCCTGGGCTGAATTGTGATAGCTGTGGAAGGCAGTAAATAGGCTGAATGAAAGATGAACTCCTGTCTTTATAGCCTTCCCTCTGTTAACCAGCTCATTGCATGAATGAAAAAGAAGAAATAGGTAGAAACAGTGCATTATACATACACTTAGGTATACAAGTCACACATCTGGAATTTCAGTAAGGTTCTGGGTGGTTAATGTCAGTAAACTCTCATGCTTCTCTTTCAAATGTTTTTTCCTACTTTTTTGAATTCTTTATTTTTATCTTTCTCTTAGTTTCAAATCTACTTTATCTTTTTTGGCAGGTGGAACAAAGAAAAAATGTTGAATCACTTTCTTCTCAGTGGTTTGATTTTTAGAATCTTTCTTAATTTCTTTTTTCAGTGTTTAGTTTTCTGAGCCTAACAGAGTGAAAAGCAGAGCTGCCTTTTACTAAACAAAACTCTTAGCTTCATTAATCAAATGCTACAGATTGTACTTGGGCCTTATTTTGTTTGTTTTGTTGTACTTGTGCCTCCCCACCCCCCAATTGATTTTTAGAGAGAGTGGAAGGGGGGGGCAGAGAGAGAGAGAGAGAGATCGATTGGTTGCCTCTTGCATGCACCCCATCCAGGGCTGGGGAGTCTAACCTACAACCCAGGTGTGTCCCCTTGACCGGGAATCGAACCCTAGACCCTTTGGTGTGCGGGGCAGTGCTCTAACCATTGATCAACACCAGCCAGGGCTACGTGAGCCTTTTTGATGTAGTGTTGGGCTGATTATTTTTTAAGAAAAAAAAACTATGGAGTTAATAACTATAGGCATCTCTCAAATGAAATAAGGCTGCCTAACTATGTGTAATAGTGGACTATATTTGACCCGCATGTTACTCTCTCAAGGGTTTATTGTTATCAGAATGAGAAATGCTTATACGCATGAACTGTGCTCTGTTGATTCCACGTATATTTATTTCTGGTGTTCAAACTAAACGTTAGGATTTCGGACTGTGAGATAGGAAATGACATAGGGTTTTTCAGTATGCCCACTGGTGTGATGCCAGCTCTTCTTCAAATGTGGGGGACCTCTTGTTAGCTTGAGAACATTCTCACAGGAAGTTACAATCTGTGTCTTGTGACCTTTGACCCATTGGATTTACTGATTGGTTGTACAATATATACATCCTTTCAAGTACTTGAATATAGTAACATCTTCCCTTTCCTCTCCCAAGCCCTTCTCTCCAGACTCTGGATCCCCCGTTTCTTCAGATGTAACCTCCTTCCTTATTCTATATCTTGTGATACTACTAGATGATCCCTAGGTTTTGTTAGCTTTTTTTTGGAGGCTCAGTTTCTTGTTGAACTTACTTCAGTTGACACCCTTCTTCTTGGAACCCACCTCTGAGTGGAGCTCCAAAAATGTCTTATTTAATGGAATATTTTTTATCTGAGTGTTCTTACTTAACAGTAAAGCATTTTGTTACATTTGATAATATTGTAACATACTTATCTCTAAAAGAAACCAAAGGCTTTTAAGACCTGGGGTACAGGTAAAATGCCAGTAAGGCCATACAATTTTATTTCTAGCCAGAGGAGATGTAAGCAACTTCAGCTGGGTCTGATATTCAGAGCTAACATTGATTGAGCCCTCATAGCATGCCAGCCACTGTGCCAAGGACTGTTAACATACCATTTAGTTCAGTACTCACAATCCTGGTTAATAATGATATTATTAGTAATAGACACTATTATTGACCTTATCTTAATGCTGAAGAAACTGAGGCTTAGAAAGGTTGGCACTCACCCCATGTGGCAGTGTGACCCAGACCTTGCACTCTTTATATACCACTATACTGCTTCTCTAACACCTGGGTAAAGCTCTGTGTAGGACTCCCTTCTCTTGTGGCCTCATAATTAGCTCTCTGACATTTTTAATTAAAATGTAAATTTGAAAAAAGAATTGGAGAATTGGATGATTTTTGCAACTCACCACGGCACCCAGAAAAGTGCTTTTCACATGGTGAGTGCTGACAGTAGAACTGAGGTCCTTGATTCTATGTCTCCAGACCCAGTAAAAATAGATTAAACACCTGAGAGTTCTTTAGTCTCAGGATGGCTAGGACCACTCCAGACCCCACAAGTCAATCTTAAACCAAAGTCTAATGCCATCATGGTGGGCTAGGGCTAAACTTTTGATTTGCTTTTGGGCAACTGGCTAGCACAGACTGTATGGGAGAGATTATGGCTGTTGTAGTTGAAGTTGGACTGGTAGCCAGATGCCTACATTCAGCCTTACACATTTGCTCTCTGTGGGCCTCAGGGTCCGCATTTCTTGGGAGTTGGGAGGGAGAGAAAGGTATGAGGGGGGTGGAGTTGGTTATTCTTTGTTCTCTCCCTACTCTTTTGGTGTGGGAGAGTCAGTTCTTGTGCCCTATTTCCCAACTCCACACTTGAAACGGTGGCAGAGTCGGAAGGTTGGGACTTTGGGAGGCTACCGCTTCACCTTCCCCCAGTCCCTAAGAGATTGGTGAGTTGGACACTATTATTAATTTGGGATAAAACTGGGACTTGTTAGCTGAGCCTGGACCAGGAATTAAAATGTAGGACTGCCTAGAACTTCTCCCTGGAGAGTTTAGGAACTGGTGTCAATTCCCCTGTGGTATGAGGACAGTGGCTCAGTTGTTGAACTACTTCAGGCTGATTGGGGGAGCACTGGCTAGTCTTTCGAGTCTGGTATTTTAGAATCATGTGGCCCTGTGTGTGTGCACATCTCAGCCTTAGGTGAACTCTAGAACTGCCCATTCTTCCTGTGATTCAAGGTATAAATAATTCTGGAATACTATAGATGGGGCTTTATTAGTCAGGGTCCCAAAGGAAAACTTGGTATTCTCAATTTAGGATAATTCCAGGAGAGTTTACTTAAAGAGGTGTGGGTAGGATGTAGAGGCAATCACAAGGGACAGAGGAGGAGGCCAGAGTTTTGGTAATAGTGGAGCTAATACCACTCCTAGCTCCAATGGGACAAATGGATGAAGTGGTTATCAGAAGCCAAAAGGGATTGTCACTTAGAAGAGGCCACCTTGAGAGGAGAATGACTTTTGGTTGAGGGATACACCCAGCCTAAGTGGAATGAATTCCCAACCTTACCCCACCCCCCCCCCATTCCTTTTTCTTTCTCTACTCTTTTTCTGGGACTCAGCATTGGACAAACTCAAAAGTCAAAGGCACAGGACCTGTTGATGTGATCCATAAAGATCAGCCTGCTCAAGCAGAGAGCAAGGTAGAGAAGGGTAGAGTGTGAATCTGGAGGAGCAATAGGAAGATATCAGACATAAGGACCATGCATTTTCATAATGGGTAGAACTATGTGTGCATATGTATGTATGTATGTATGTGTGTGTGTGTGTGTGTGTGTGTAGCAGAAGGTAGGAAAAAGGGATGAGATAAACATTTCTCGAGCAACACCTAGGAACTTTCTCATGATACAACCATGTTTTGGGATAAGTAGTAGTATTTCCATGTTATAGATGTGGAAAACTTGAACCCAGATCTCTTGGTCTTAAGTCAGCTCAGTCCTGGTGATCCCTGTGGTGACAGATTGTAGCCAGATAGCCCTCACATCTGACTCCCTGGAGCCCATTCCAGAAAGCTACATTTCATGGCATTGCTGGGAGAACAGGGGAGGACTGTTCAGAGCTGCTGTGTATTTTTTCTTCACATCTATGAACTTGAAGAGACGGGGAAAGAGAAGGAAAAAAATTCAACTTGGCATGAATGATGGTAAGTGAGATCAAATAAGGTGAAAAGCAAAATAGAATCCAGAAATTTAGTTTTGCTTTTACTCAAAGTTCATGGGCGGTTGCTGTACAAAGTCCTTTTTACTTTCCACAAATGTTAAGCACTTTTCATAACATGAATCTCATTACCTTTTAATTTTGGTTGTTTATGAACTTAAATAGCTTCAAAAAAGACAAAGAACCAATTGAACATTAAGCTCAAACTAAGTGTTCCCTTTATTTCACTTCTTCCTAATGTAAAAATTATTACATTTATGAGTTAAGATTATTTTGGTTCCTGATACATTAATTGTAAAAGTACTTATTGAACCATCAACAGTGAAGTAGACATTTTAAATTAAAAAAAAAGAGGGATTGTAACACTCTAGAAAATAAACATTAACATTTTCTGTTCTAGTTTTCATTGTATGCATGCATAAATTTTACATGGCTAGAATTGTACAAGTTTATGTTATTTTGTCATTATGAGTATTTTTCCATGTTGCTATATAGCCTCCATAATTATTTAGTTTGTTAGTTTACCTTAAACTTTCTCTGACTTGTTGGATGCTATTATTTATTTATTTATTCTGTTTTATGCCATGAAAAAGACTGGCGATTTTGTTGAACATTTAAATGGTTTATTATTTTTCTTTATAAACATTATTCATTTGCATCTTCACGTATCTAATC